AAAAATAAACCCCCCCCCCTCGCCCCGAATAGCATTCCGAAAGAGGTCTGCTATCGGGGAGCATTCCGAAAGAGGTCTGCCAAAATAAACCCCTCCCCTGCCCCTCCCTCCCCCGAATAGCGGTCCGAAAGAGGTCTGCTATCGGGGGGGGGGGAACCCTCCTCCTCTCCTCCCTTAGCGGTCCGAAAGAGGTCTGCTACGGTAGCGGAGGAGGGGCCCGATTCATCCAGCGCCGCAACGAGAAGAGCCACGAGGCGCCCGACACATGTATCTAGTCTTGATCGTTTCTCATCCTACTCAAACTTCACTGCGCGGGACATAGCAAGCACCGTCTGGATCGAGATCACGGCAAGTGCAAGTCATCCCTAGCCGTGCCGCCGACGAGGGTGGAGAATCTCGCCGTCGTCCTCCTCATGCTGCCGGTGGGCGAAGGCGTCGCTGTCGCCGTCGCCGTCGTCGAGTCGGCCGCGTGGTGGCGATGACGGCGGTTCGGGCCATGATATCGGCCATCTTGCCCTGCCGGTCCCGGCGCCTGCCACGCTGCCTCGCGCAGTGGACTCGAGGTCCGCGGCGAGTGCGGCGAACAGGGCAGCGAGTTGCTCCTCTTCCGCAAAAACGGCGGCGGCTTGATCGCCATCCTGGTCTCCGCTGCTGCTGCTGCCGCCGCCGCCGACGATGACGAGTGGAACGAAGGCGCCTCGTCGGCACGCCCGACGAACGGATAGTAGATGCGCACCATCGACGACGATCCTTCGCTGGCGTGGTGGCGCTCGTGCAGCCGGTCGATGGCCTGCAAAGGCGCGGCGACCGCCGCCGATGCCGCCGTCTCGCTGCCCTTTTCGCTCGACGGTGCCGCTGCTGCTGTCAACGGTGTCAGACCCGCCAGAGATGGGCGGCGAGGCTCCTCGCCGCCGCTGTGGATGCTCGTCTCCCTCGAGCGCTCCTGCGAGCTGCGCCGCGTCCCGCCTCGCGAGAGCAGGCGCCTGGCGAAAAAGTCTGAGCTCATCAGCTGCACCACGTCCGAGTCCCTCAGCCCGTGGTCGCCGCCGCCGTCGCCGCCATTGCCCTCCTTCGAGTAGCGCGCCAGCGACGACATGGCGCTCGACAGCGCAGTGTAGGACCGCAGGAAGCGCGACTCCTCCATCTCGCTCGGGATCCGCGACATCTCCCGGACGCGCGGGCGCGACTTGGACCGCGATCGCGAGGGAGCCACCGACGACCGGCGCAGATCCTTGTCCCTCTCGACCTCCGCATGGTGCCGCGCCCGCGACGAAGATCGGCTGCCCGGCGAGGTGTCGTTGATCGGCCGCTGTCCAAAGACGACCAGCTCGCCGTGTGGGCCGAAGCTGGCGCCCATCCGCCGTGCTGGCATCTTCATGCGTGGCCGCACCGGCCCCATGTCGTCTTCGCTGTCGGTGATGCTGCCCACCGAGAGCGCGCGGTGGCTGGCATTGCCGCCCTCGCCATCGTCGCCGTCCAGCAGCTTGACGGGCTCGCCCAGCAGGAACCGGCAGCACAGCTCGATGCATGGCCGCTCCAGCTGGGCCGACTGCTTGGCGAGCCGCGACAGCCCTCGCAGCAGGTACGCCCGCGTCTTGAGCGTGATGTTGGCGCTCCTTTCCAGGTCGAAGCTCGGCGGCAGCCGCGGGTAGGCCCTGGGGAAGACGATCGTGATGCGCAGAAAGGCCGGCTCGCGATCCGCCCAGGGGCCGTACATCGACAGCGTGCACGTTCTCTGCGCAACCTCGGCCTTTTCAAATAATATGCGCGGCAGCTTGCGGCTCAGCGCGACAATCTCGTCGCCCAGCCGCTGCGAGCTCAGGCCGTCCTCGCGGTCCGTCTCGCCCGCCGAGGCACCCGTCCCCATGCCCGATGGCTGGCGGCTCATGTCCAGGCCCGAGCCGCGGCCGTTGGTGGCATCGTCCGAGACCTGCTTACTGTCTTCGCCCGAGTCCTTCTGGATGCGCACGTTGGCGATCCAGCCGATCGGGTCCACCGCCGGTCCAGCCAGGCGGGCGCGGTCCAGACGCATGGGGGCGCCCAGCGCCCTGCGGCCCGTTTTCTTGCGTCGGCTAGTGGGGTCGGCGTCCTTGGCAAGCGTGTGGTCGCGCTCCCGCTGCTTGTCCTTCAACCTGCTGTGCTTGTGGTGGCCGGCCTCGTCAGCCTCTTCCTGGATCGGATGCGAGCGCCCAGGTCGCATCTTGCGCGCCGAAACACCCGCTGGAATCTTCGACACGGCACCCTCGCGGAGGCCGTCAGGCAGCTTGAAGCTGCTGCCACTCTTGTTGGACGCCGGCAGCCGGGCGCTGCGGAACGATGTGCCAGCCTTGCTCGGATTGTGCGCAGAGTCGGCTGCGGCTGCTGCTGCTGCCGCCGCCGGGATGCCTCTCGGTAGCGAGCTTCCCGGGAGGCCGGTCAGACTCCTGCCATAGAGTTCTGCCCGACCCAGCGACCTCGGTAGCATCTCTCCCTGTCGCCTCGCAGCGGCCAGATCGCCTCGGAGGCTGCTCTGGCTCGAGCTGTGGTGGACGACACGCCGATCGAGGGGCCGCTGCCCGAAGCTCGAGCTGAACGCAGCCACAGGGCTTGCCCGCCCGTCGCGGATAATGTTCTGGAAGCCCGACTGCGATGAGCTGTAGGGTGACGTGCCGTTGATCCGGCTGCTACCACCTGTTCCGCCGCCTCCTCCACCCCCCGCGCCCCTACCACTGAGCAGCGAGCGGGTGACCTTCTCCGGTGGCATGATCGAGGACACGGTGACGCTGCTGGTCGATCCGAGGTCCCCGCTGTCGTGCAGTGCGCGGTCGTCTGGCACAATGGCGCTGATCTGGGGTGGGTCTCTGTACGAGATGTCGGGTGCGTAGGCGCGCGTGTTAAGTACGCGGATTGGCGCTCCGGGCTTGTGGCCGACGGACCGTGTCTGCTCCTCGCTGACGGGCCACAGACGGAGCGTCTGGTCCTTGCTCCAGGTGATGAGCTGGAAGCGGCGATCGTCGCAATCGCGGTTCTGGCCGCCCTTTGTGCGAAAGAGGTACTCCTTGACGATGTCGGTGTGGCCCTCGAACGTGGCCATGGGCGCCTCGGGATGGTCCTTGGCCCACATGCTGAGAGAGCAGTCGCCGCGCTGGGGCAACGTCATGACACCGTTGCCAAAGGGCAGGTGCCTGGCTCGCCAGACGGGCGTGTTGGTCTCGATGACGCTTTCGGCCTCGGTGATGAGCTCGCGGGCGCCAATGGCCCGCTGCGCCGACTCGGACGACAGGTCCCAGAACTTGACGGTGCGGTCGAGGGAGCAGGTGATGAGACGATCGAGGCCGAGCGAGGTGTCGCGGCTCCAGTCGATCGAGTAGATCTTGGACTCGTGCGCCTCGATGGTGGCGAGCGGGAGGGAGCCCTTGCGGTCGTCCCAGATGAGGACCTTGTTGTCGCACGTCGAGGCGAGGCGGTGCTCCGAGGCGCGGTTGAACTTGACCTGAGTGACGGCGGCGTTCCAGGCGCTGTAGCCCTGGGCGGGCTTTCTGCGACCAGAGTCGGCCGAGGCGCTGCTCATGCGCAGGTCCCAAACCCAGGTCCAGGTGTCTAGGCTGCAGCTGGCGAGCACCTCGGGGTGGAAGGCGGACCAGTTGATGTCGGTGATGGCACGGGTGTGGGCGTGGAGAATGTGCTCAATGGCCGAGCTGCGGGGAACCGAGGTGCCGCCGCCGCCGAAATGCGAGGCGGTGGAGCTGTGGGCGAGGGTCTGGGCAAAGGGTGAGTTGGTCGACATGTGGCCAAGGCCGGTGCTGGCCGCGGTGCCCGAGTTGGCGCTCCTGACGACGGGGACAAAGGCGGCCTGATGCTGCGCACTGAGCCTTGAGGTCAACGGGCTGGAGCTGGCCATGGGCGGGTAGCTAGACTGGAGAGGTAGACGCGACAGGAGCGGGCCGACGCCCGAGGGTGTTGCAGCGGCAGCCGCGCGCGGATCGCCGGGGCGGTCGAGGTTCCATACAAGGAGCTTCTGGTTCGAGGTGCTCGCAACCCAGTTGCTCCTAGCGGGGTGCGGGTTCCACTGGATGTCGACGGCCTCCCAGGTGGTCATGTGGGCGAGGAAGCGGGGCGGCACGTAGGGGTCGTCGAGATCGAGGATAAAGAGGCCCTTTCTCGCTGCGAGGACGACATCCCTGTTTGCGGGGCTGATGCTCATGCTGCCCACGGGCTCCATGAGGCTGATTTCGCAGGAGCGGTAGAAGGTGCTCGACTCGGCCTTGGCGGCCGGCACCGGCCCGGGTGCGGCATTTGGGTTCGCCATTGGCGAAGTCGATGGAGGCGGCTGGAGCGACGCCGAACAAGAGTCGAGAGGGCCGCGTCAGCGGGTTTGGAGACAGCAGTCGACGACGAGTGAGCCGGGCGGGCTGGCGCGAAGAAGCAATGGGAACAAGCCAGCGTGGCCCGCAATGGGGCTTGTCGGGGATATGGATGTCAAGCTGAGGCGGTCATTGGCGCTGAAGAGAGGAGGGCATGCGTTAGGTTGGTGTGTGGTGGCTGCTGGATGATAGCGGTTGGTGGTGGGCGGGCAACAGCATAGAGAGCAGTCGGGCGAGCGGGGCAGCCTACCTGCAAACCCAACCTGCAAAGCCACCCCGCAAAGCCACCCATGTGGAGCAGCCAGGGCAGGGCAGGCCAGGCCAGGGTAGGCTCAGGCGCCATCTTGGCACGCCCGTCGGCCCCGAGCAGCAGCACACGACCCTCTGCTCTGCCCTGCTTGGGCTTTCTCGGAAAGCGGAAAGCCTGCCCGCCTAACTTGGAACTTTTTTCCCCCTCGAGCGCCTCCTGCCTTGGCCCCACGCCTCGGTTTGGGCCCAGAATTTTGCCTCGCCTCCCTCGCCCTCGCCCTCGCCCGCGTCCCCGCCCTCACCCTCGACGACCGGCGACCACCTCGATACTGCCCCTCGCCCGGCTTCCCTTCCTTCGTCAACCTCCTCACCACGTTCTACCTCCACGCTCGCCATGGGTCTGTCCGATAGAAAGGTCAAGCAGCGCCTCGTGGGCTCCGCCGCCACGCGCAATGCTGCCTGGCTCAACGACGCCTCCCTCCCCGGTCAGAGGATGCTCGCACAGATGGGCTGGAAGGAAGGCCAGGGCCTCGGTACCACCATGACCGGCATGTCCCAGAACCTCACAGTCGCGCTCAAGCTCGACAACAAGGGCATCGGTGCGGCCCGCTACGAGCGAGAGGCCAGGGCAGCGGGCAAGGACGCCTGGGTCGGAGGAGGAGGCGACCTCGGCAGCCTCTTTGACAGGCTCAACGCAGCCAATGCCGCCGCCGCCGCCGCTTCCGCCGTCCCATCTCCCGCAGCTGTCGGCGACGCAGACGACGGCGAAAAGGACCTCGAGAGGAAGAAGAAGAGCAAGAAGGACAAGAAGGAGGCCAAGGAAAAGAAGAGCAAGACCTCCAAGAGCGGCGAAGAGTCCAAGGAGGAGAGAAAGGAGCGCAAGCGGGCGGAAAAAGAGGCAAAGAAGCAGGCCAAGAAGGACAAGAAGCGGAAGCGCTCCTCCGAGGCGGGGGGCGACGACGAAGACGATCAATCCAGCAAGAAGAAGAAGAGCAAGCGGGACAAGAAGCACCTCGCCGACCAGGTCGTCGCCGAGAGCGTCGCCGCCGATCCCAGCCTGGCAACGGACAACAAGGCCATCAAGCAGATCAAGCAGGACGTCCAGGCGGGCAAGCCCATCCGGCTGGCGCACCGCGCCAAGTTCCTCCGCGCCAAGCGCATGGTCGGCAATGACCTCGCCAGCGTCAACGAGATCCTCGGCATCAAGTCCAACACTGCCTCGCCCGGCGCATCGGGCACCTCGTCACCCGCACCGGGCGCGGCCACACCCAAGACCTACCCGGGCCCCGGCGGCAGCCAGATTGCCCTCATCGACGTCGACCAGAAGCTAGCCGCAGCGGGATCCGAAGCTTCTTCGTCGTCGTCTTCCTCGTCATCCTCGTCCGACTCATCGGGCAGCGAGGACGAGGCGGCTCCCTCCAAGACCACCTCCGAAGGCAAAGGGCGAAAGAGCTCTTCGAAGGCTAGCAAGGACAAGAAGGGGAAGCGGAAGGCAACCGTGGACTCGGACTCGGATTCAGATTCGGACTCGGGCGCAGGCGAGGCTGCCGGGAGCCGCAAGAAGTCCAAGAAGCGGGACGAGAAGAAGGCGAGCAGGAGGGACAAGGACGTGGACGAGAACAAGAAGAAGAAGAAGAAGAGGCAGGACAAGAAGGACAAGAAGGCAGCCTCTGCGGCTGCCGCCGACTCGGCCACGCCAGCGCCACCGACGCCATCGACGACGCAGACGACGCCAGCGCCCACCGACGACGAGAGCCGAGTGCAGATCGGGACCAACTCGCAAGGGTTGTCGGTGCATGAGTACCTCTCTCGCCGGCTGATGCTGCGCAAGGCGCAGATTGCACGGCGGAAAAAGGACGAGGCGGAAGCCATCTGGACGCGCGCCGCCGCCATCTCGGCTTGATTGTGCGGGCGCTCCATTTCCCCTGTCCCCCCTGCTTTCCTTGTCCCGCCCACCCATGCCGTTCGTTGATCTCTGCATTTGCATCATCATTTTCACTACTCTTGGATCGTTCTGTCGCGGCGTCCGCACGCGCGAACTGTGAGGGATGGGAAGATGGCGGGCGATCGCGGCAGCGCTAGGGGGGGACCGGACGCTGGCAAGTGGTTGCGAAGTCGTGGCCTGGCCGGAGTCAGAGGTAGAGGAAACAAGGAAAGGACAGAGAGTCGGTCGCACAGCATAGACCGCGTCTGTGGTCGACTCTGGCATCCTGGATCCGCCCGATGTCGGCTGTTGGCGGTGACCCTTGCACAGTTCGAGAGCAAGGCGTCCGCTGCGCATCTGTACCCCGCACGCGTGTGCTGGAGCTTGCGACGTGGGCGGCACAGCATATCGCAGTGGTCAGGAGGTACAGGCCAGACAGGGCAGATGGGACAGAGTCGAGGCCGAGCAGAGGCCCGACCCTGCAGCGAGCGCAGGCCGTTCGGCTCGGCGCCACGATCCCGGCACCTCGACAGTAGTATCTGGCCCCCTAGCGGCGACGCGCTGGGAGGAGCGAGGACGGGGCGGGTAACCGCGGGGCCTCGAGACACGTGGTCTGCACCCTCCCTTGGACGGCCCGTGTTCTAGACTTGGACCGGCACGGACCGAGGCGTCACTCATCCCGGCCTCCTCCCGTAGGTCCTCGCCGACGATAGACAACTGCCTCCCTGGCTCTGCTCCAGCTTCTACGTCTGATCGTCGGTGGATGTAAGATGAGCAAAGACGCATGTGTCGTTCGGCTTCGGAGCTGGAATCGCGGCACAGAGACGGTACGGTGGATACCGTAGAGCGTGCCTGCGCGTGGCGAAAAGCCAGAAAGAAGCGCAGTCGAGTTGATCCGGCTTCGAAGATCCCCCCTGCTCTCCCTACCGTACAGTAACTTACCTTTCTGGCGCCGATCTAGACTCTTCGAGCATCGACCAAATAGTTACGAGACGGTTAGTTGGATGTTTGTCCGCGGTGGTGACGGCTGTTGCTGTCACCGGAGTTGCAGAGGCATTCATACAGAGGCAGGAAGGAGACCGGGTGGCGAGGGATGCGGTGCGACAGAGAACGGCCGGGCCAGGGGGAGAAAGCGCCGCGAGAAGTCACGAGGAAGGCCAACAAACGTGCTCGCCAACCCGCGGTCCGGACGTTTCCACGGACGGCAAAGGAACCCGCGGCCGTTCGACGCACCCGCAGCCCAACGCAGCGCTGCATGCGCGTACGGGCAGCCGACAGGACGCGACGGCGCATCCGACGGCGAGGCTGCCGGTCTCGGCGAGGGCAGCGTTGCCGTTGCTCGCCATTGCGACGATGTGCTGCGATCAAGCTGCGCACGTTGTAGGTACATACGACGTCTGGTCAGCCTGGGTAGGTGGTTCGAGACTAGGCTTGTATGTAGTGCGCGGCTGATGTTGGGGCGGCGGACTACAAGCAGGCAGGCAGACAGGCAGCGTGATGGCATCGTGGGAGGGCAACCATATCATGCGTCCATGACCGCCGCTCGCCGCCCGTCGAGACCGAGAACAAGACCGAGACCGGGCCTCGAAGGGGGGCCGCTTGCATGCGTGTGACGCCCGTTTGGTCGGGCCTCGTCCGCCTCGGCCTGACTGCCATGACCGTCACACACGATACCGAGCAGCCCCCGGTCCACGCAGCACGGACGGTCAACTGTGTGGATCTAGGAGGACGTACCCACGTAACTCCTATATTCCATCAGCATGATCGCCGTCGTTAAAGCACGCTCGATGGCTCGTCGACGCTCTTCAGCAGGCTAGACAAGGTTGGGGCTGCGGTGGCCCGGTACGTACAAGAGGGACGCTAGGCTGGCGGCCCACGGCTGCCGACAATTGAGAGCGGGCCGCCAGCAGACGGCGTGGACGATGCAAGTTGGCCGATGGCGGGCCATGGTGGTACGACTTGGCTGACTACACGGCATCTCGACCGCCTCTGCCTCATAGAACTCTTGCGGGAGGTGAGGGATAACAAACTACCAGGCGGGACGAGGTGGCGGCGATCCCTTCGCCTGGCCCGGCTGGTCCTCGGGTACAAGGATGGTTCGGCCCCTGTTTGCCTGTTGGCTTGCTTTGCTTGCTTGCTTGCTTGCTTGCTTGCAAGTTTGTTCGGTACAGCCGCGGGCGGCGCCCAGCATCTCCTCTCTCGAGAGTTCTGCTTCTCCAGAGATCTGCTGGCTGCTTCTGGCGTGCGAGCAAGCAAGCGGGCGAAGGGACGGGGGGGCTTCTCTCGGCTGTTGTTGTCTCGCTCGCCAAGGTAAGGGCATGCGCGCGTGCACGCACATCATCCATCGGACAGCCGTAGCAGGCCAGGCAAGGGCCAAGCCAGGGCCAAGCAAGGCAGGCCAGGTCGAGGGCTGCAGGCGCAAGCACAAGCACAAGCACAAGCGCAAGCGCAAGCGCAAGCTCCAAAGAACCAAGCTCGAGATGGCCACACAAGCACGCACGTAGAGCCAGAGAGCAGAGAGATGGGTAGGTAGGTGTAGTTACAAGCACGTAGAGCGAGCTGAGTGTCGATGCAGCTGCCCTCGCGTCCGTGTACGTACGAGGTATGGTGTAGATCGTCGAGGGCGAGGGAGCTGTCCGCAAAGGGTGGACGGATAGGCCCATCCGTGCGCCCTGGGCGGAGAGGAAGAGCAAGCAAGCAAGCATAGAGCGAGAGAAGGCTAGGAGTCGAAGCAAAGTGCCCTCGCCCTCGCCCTCGCCCTCGCCCACGCCCACGCCCTCGCCCTCGTCGCCCTCGGCAGTCGGAGACGACGCGCTAACGCAGCAGCAGAGAAGCACGGCAGGCAGGCCCGGTACGAGGCCAGGGGAGCGACAGGCCAGGCCAGGCCAGGCCAGGCCAGGCATGACCTGTGGGCGTCGTGGCCCGCCGCGCCTCTTAGCCTCGTCGTCGTGCTTTGCCCTGGCCTCTGTCTCCCTGGCCTGTTTGACGACACCTCGTCGGCCTGGCTGCTCGCCGCTCGCCGCTCGCCGCACGCCGTCCGCTCTCCCGCTCCTGCTCCTGCGTCTGCTCGTGCAGCTGCCACCCGAGTTAGCCTTAGCCTCTGTTGTATCTCTTTGGGGCAGCACTCAAGAAGGTCAATCCTCACACCCGCCCTCGCCCTCGCCCCTTCTCATCCCTCTCTTCTCGACCTTCCTTCTGGTCCTCATCACCGACGCCGCTCCTCCATCCCTGTTCAGGCCAGCTTTCTCTTCGCCGTCCTGCCTCTCGCCCCCTAAGCAGCAACACGACCACCACCGCCACCGTCACCATCACCACTACAACAACGACCATCAAGTCGACCACGACGGCCACGGTCGCAGTCCTCCCACAACATCCGTCATCACCACCATTTTCCAATCAGCATCAGCGACCGCTGTGCTAGCGGCAGCGGCCGAAGCGGCGCCCAGTGCAGCTCAACCTCAGTCACCGCACATCCTCTCCGGACAAAGCCTGGCAGGAACCATTGCATTCGCTGCAATCATCCAGCCCAAATCCCGCCAGCGCCCCTCATCCTCACCCACCCACCTCGATCGCATCGCAGCCAGCGCCGCCCACAGGCCATCTGCATCCGCCCGGACCCCCCCGCACCACGACGCAGCAACACACGCTAGCACTCCGAGGTGCACCAGCGCCTGCCAACGCGTCGCCAGTCATCCACTTGCCGTGCATCGGCACCGCGCCATCTCCACCTCGTCTCTCGCCTCGGCGCCAATCTCATCACTGCCTTCGCAGCGGCCTTCGCCTCTCATCCGGCCCTTGCGTCGACTCCCGTCATCGCTAGTCCTCACAAGCGCAGCACAGCTTCGACGTTTTGCCCTGCTGCTCCCGTCCCTACTTCGGTCCTGCCAGAGTCTTCATCAGCTCTCCGTCCATCCGGTCTTGCTTCTGCCTCTGTCCAGGCCTTGACTTTGCTGGCCAACACACTCTGGGGCGCCTCAACCCACCTGCTAGCCATTGCGTTTCTGCACCGGCTCTGCGACCAGCTCTCTACCTATTGTCCAAGCCCGCCTCCCGATTGGGCCGAGCTCGCTGCGTAGGACCCCCACCTCCGACCTTCGCCAGGCTCAAGCTGGACCAAGCCAGCTCGTCTTGCTTGCCTTCGCCTTGGGACGCTCGACACATATCGTCTTGCCACCCCTGCTACAGCACACCAGCCGACAGCTATCTCGGACACAGGGCAAACGCTCCGCTAGCTCAATCCGTCCGTGCCGCTATCCGCCCTCTTTGCCTGTCGTTGCTTCCGATCCACCTTGCTGCCTGCCGGTCTCCTCCGCCAGCAGCACTCAGGTAGCTGCCAGACCAGGGCGTCTCGGCTGTTCACCTCGGCCTGAGTCTTCTACGTCGCAGAATCCTCCTTGACCCTCCATTTCAGAGAGGTCACCGCGTGGAACCCGCCCAGCCATCCTCGGAACGCATCGCCAACCTTGCCGCCTATCTTGTGACAAGGCACACGCAGCACCAACATCACAACAACCCCGACCCGGAGCGCCGGCGACTGCTTCCGCTGTCGGCGCCGTCGTGCAGCTCTGCTCCTTGCTGCCGCTAGAGCTTTCGCTTGGCCACTCCGCGACAGTCAGCCCACGGACCTCGGCCTACCCGCGCTCTGCCCACCGAAGTCCACGCATCACGGCTGTGCTCTTGCCAGTGCAGCTCCAGGAAAAGCGCCACGCTCGAGCGGACCACTCCGAGAAGCGCATCGCGATCAGGCACGCCGCGACTGAGGGGCAAGGCCAGGTCGCCATCTCACGCATCTAAGTCGTCGCACAGGTGTGCGCCTCCTCTTCTCCCCGCCACTGCACGTGCGTGACACGCCTCTGTGCCGAAGCTCGGCCGGCTGGACATTCGCCGAATCCGCTCTGCGACAAGGGACAGGCACGGCGCAATACACGCCTCCGAACATAGGCTATCTCGCTCTTGAGTCCAAGCGGCCGCGCGACTTGAGACGGGCCTGATCGAAAGGGCTGGATCGGACCGGCAGAAGCACCACGCTACGGGACCATCGGGGAAACTCGGGTTGGCACAGCTGGTCAAGATGGGCAACTGCCTCTCGTCCAACGAGCAGAAGGAGGCCAAGGATCGGAGCGTGGCCATCGACAAGCAGATCGAGGAGGACAGCCGCAAGTACAAGAAGGAATGCAAGATCCTGCTTTTAGGTGAGTATCGATTGCCACGTTCTGTCCGATCGTCGGTGAAGGGGTCGACCTCGGACGAAGCCGTCACGCACCGCGCTTGGCTCGAAGACAGCCGCGGCCAGCGACTGCCGTCCAGTCCAGCGACCTTCTCTTGCTGACCGCACCGGTCTCGCCGCCTCGTTTCGCCCCGCCATCCTCGTCGCTGCCTTCATGTGCTCGCGCGCGCGCGCTCGCTCATCCCGCAGGCTCCGGCGAGTCGGGCAAGTCGACGATCGTCAAGCAGATGAAAATCATCCACCAGAATGGCTACACGACCGATGAGCTGATGCTCTTCCGGCTGACGGTCATCAAGAATGTGGTCGACTCGGCGCAGGCGATTGTGCTGGCGCTGCGCAAGTTCAAGATGGAGCCCGAGATGCCCGAGAACCGCGAGAGCGCCGACGCCATCCTCCAGTACCGGGTCGACGCGGACCCGGGCACGTCGCTCGACCCGACGATGGCCAAGCGGGTCGAGTCGCTGTGGCACGACCCCATCATCGCGGCCGTCATGGAACGGAGCTCGGAATTCTACCTCATGGACAGCGCCAGCTACTTCTTCGACAACGTGACGCGGATCGGGCAGCCAGACTATGTGCCCAACGAAAACGACGTGCTGCGGGCGCGGTCCAAGACGACGGGGATCAGCGAGACGCGGTTCAACATGGGGCAGCTCTCGATCCACCTGTTTGACGTGGGAGGGCAACGGTCGGAGCGGAAAAAGTGGATCCACTGCTTTGAGGCGGTGACGTCGATCATCTTCTGCGTGGCGCTGAGCGAGTACGACCAGGTGTTGCTCGAGGAGAGCGGGCAGAACCGGATGGCCGAGTCACTGGTCCTCTTTGAGAGCGTGGTCAACAGCCGTGAGTACCATCATCCATCGACCCGCGGCGTGGGAGCGATCGTCGGCTGGCCGCAGCGTCGACTGACATCGGGGCTTTTTGCCGCGTGCGCGCGCTCTCTCACCCCTTACTCTCCACCCCTCTAATCGTGTGCTGTCCTACCCACGTAGGCTGGTTCCTGCGGACGTCAATCATCCTCTTTCTCAACAAGATCGACATCTTTAAGCTCAAGATCCCGCGGCAACCGCTGTCCAAGTACTTTCCCGAGTACAGCGGCGGGCCCGACATCAACAAAGCGGCCAAGTACATCCTGTGGCGCTTTACGCAGACGAATCGGGCGCGGCTCAGCATCTACCCGCACCTGACGCAGGCGACGGACACGTCCAACATCCGGCTCGTCTTTGCCGCCGTCAAGGAGTGAGTCGTCGGCGGCGGCGAAATTCTCGCGCTGGCCTGCGCTTGCACCTCTGCTCGTTGTCGATCCGCATCCCCCTCTTTGCTGACATTCGGTGCGAACTGCGTCGTCCGTTTGGCCCTCCTCTGCCCGCTGCTGCGCCGTTGACAGAACGATTCTCACAAACGCACTCAAGGATAGCGGAATCTTATAGACCATCCGGTCCACCCCTTAATCGACCGTCTGGCTCTCTAGAGGCCACCACCGGCAGGGTCATCGGCGATATCAGCGCCAGCGACCAGCGAACAGCAACCAACGAACGGCGACCAGCAACCAGCACCAGCACACTAGCGGCCCGCGGCCGGTCCTTGTCGGCCGGCGTGTGCATCTTAATTCCACGGCCGCATTACTTCTACCTTACTCTACCATACACCTGCTTGCCCATGCACTGCGACCACGCTCCCTGCTGTTCCCCTCTCTTCCTGCTCGCCATCGCTGTACCTGGTAGTCGTGGACTCGATGAGGTCCCGGCACGGCGGCACGGCGGCACGCTCGCTCTGCTACGCCACACGCGCGCACGCGCACACTTGTGCTCCCCTACATGGTCACTCGTTTGGTATCTACTGCTCGGTCGATGGAGGGGTGTCGTATGGATGACTGCGGCGATGCCGTCCGTGTGCCTGCCTGACTGTCCGAGGGATTGGTCGCGCATGTGGTCCGCCGCCGGATGCGCATCGCCCGCAACCGCCACCTCTTCTTGTTCCGACACGGCGACACCCAGTCTGGTCGTTGCTGCGCTCAAACGCAACGACCCAAGGCCATACGCACGATCGAGATTGCCATGTCGGGCCGGAGAAGGATGAGTCGTGGCAGCGTCGGCAGGCCGCCCTGGATGGAGGACGCCGCTTATCGCGACGAGGCGAACGACGGTCCGCCTTTTCGACGGTCGCGGCCAAAGCTCGTCGGTTCGTTATCGGATCACGGCGAATCTGCTCGCCGAGGGCGAGGGCGAGGGCGAGGACGAGGGCCGCGAGGGAAATTTCGCCGAGACGAGCCAGAAGGGGGCGGGCGACAAACGAGCCACCCACCGGGCCCTACCTCTCTCAGGCGGGCCCTGGCCTGCTTGCTTGCTTGTCGATGGACGCCTGGCCTGGCCTGGCCTAGCCTAGCCTCGCTGCCTGCTTGCTGCTTGCCAGCCTGCCCCCCGCGCGGCATGGGCAGCGAGGGCGGAAACTTTGGGCCCCCGCAGCTTCCCACCCTGGACCTGGTCTGTGCTTGCTGCCCGTATGGTGGAGGCCAGGCAGGGCAGGGCAGGCCAGGCCATGCATGCCGAGGTGCCTGCCTGACCTGCATCATCATCATCGTCTGCCTGCCGCTGGTGGAGCGCCAGGCAGGCAGGCAGGCAGGCAGGCAGGCAGGCGTGTCCAACTTTTTTGGGCAGGGGAACCCGCCTGCCTCCCCGCGGCGCTGCATTGGGCAGAGAGGAGAGGCAGCCAGGCAGCCAAACCAGCCGAGCGAGCAGCGTCTTGGAAGTTTCGCGGACGGGCCATGCAGCATCAACGACGTCCCTCCCTGCTCGCCACTCGCCCCACCCACCACCAGCAGCAGCAGCAGCAGCAGCACCACGTACCGGGTGGCGCACACGAGCAAGCAGGAAAAAGTCGCCGGACTCGTCGTCGTATAAGGCTCGGCCAGCGTAGCGTAGCGTCGCTTCGCTTTCCACATCGCCCCTGGCTTCGACTTTGCCCACATACCCGCCCTGCGCACATCCTTTCGTGGCCTCGCCCTTCGATCCCGATCCACTTGTCCTCACACCACCACCTTGACATCTTCGCACCTCGCCGCACTTTGATCTCTAGCTCGTCCCTCTCTTCCCGCTACCGACTCGCACGCAGAGCGACCACCACCCCCACCACCACCACCATAATGGCAGCAGCGGCGGCGTCCGACCCGGCCTTTGCACCGGCACCGCCACCCCACGACTACTCCAAGGCCAACGACGGCACCGGCGTCATCGCCCTTGACCCTTGGCTCGAACCTTTTGCTCCCGCCCTGCGCGAGCGATATGCCGTCTTCCGCGACTGGGCATCCAAGATCGAAGCCACAGAGGGCGGCCTGATCAAGTTCTCCCAGTCCTACCGCAACATGGGCTTTCAGGTCGACCCAAAGACCCAGGCCGTCACCTACACCGAGTGGGCGCCCAACGCCGTCGAGGCGGCCCTCATCGGCGACTTCAACAGCTGGGACCGCAACTCGCACAAGCTCGCAAAGGACTCGTTTGGCAAGTGGTCCATCACCATCCCTCCCGCCTCGCCCGGCAAGTGCGCCATCCCGCACGACTCCAAGATTAAGATCTCGATGGTGCTCCCGGACGGCGAGCGCATCGAGCGCCTGCCCGCCTGGATCAAGCGCGTCACCCAGGACCTCGACGTGTCGCCCGTCTACGACGCCCGCTTCTGGAACCCGCCGCAGGACCAGGTGTACAAGTTCAAGCACCCCAAGCCGCCCAAGCCCGCCAACCTCAAGGTCTACGAGGCCCACGTCGGCATCGCCACGCCCGAGCCCCGCGTCGGACAGTTCAAGGAGTTCACCAAGAACCTCCTCCCGCGCATCAAGGAGCTCGGCTACAACACCATCCAGCTGATGGCGATCCAGGAGCACGCCTACTACGCCTCGTTCGGCTACCAGGTCACCAACTTTTTCGCCGCCAGCAGCCGCTACGGCAACCCCGAGGACCTCAAGGAGCTCATCGACGTGGCCCACTCGCTCGGCATCACGGTGCTCCTCGACATTGTCCACTCGCACGCCTGCAAAAACGTCCTCGACGGCCTCAACATGTTTGACGGCACCGACCACCTCTACTTCCACGAGGGCGCCAAGGGCCGCCACGAGCTGTGGGACTCGCGCCTGTTCAACTATGGCAGCCACGAGGTGCTCCGCTTCCTGCTCAGCAACTGCCTCTTCTGGCTCGACGAGTACGGCTTCGACGGCTTCCGCTTCGACGGCGTCACCAGCATCCTCTATACCCACCACGGCATCGGCACCGGCTTCTCGGGCGGCTACCACGAGTACTTTGGCCCCAACGTCGACACCGAGGGCGTCGTCTACCTCATGCTCGCCAACCAGATGATCCACCAGGCCTACCCGGACGCCATCACCATCGCCGAAGACGTATCGGGCATGCCCGCCCTCTGCCGCCCCGTCGCCGAGGGCGGCGTCGGCTTCGATTACCGTCTCAGCATGGCGGTGCCCGACATGTGGATCAAGCTGCTCAAGGAGAAGCAGGACGAGGAGTGGGACTTTGGCAACATCTGCTTCACGCTCACCAACCGTCGCCACCAGGAAAAGTCGATCGCCTACGTCGAGTCGCACGACCAGGCTCTCGTCGGCGACAAGACCATTGCCTTCTGGCTCATGGACAAGGAGATGTACACAAACATGTCGGACCTCACCGAGCGGACGCCCGTCATCGACCGCGGCCTCTCGCTGCACAAGCTGATCCGCCTCATCACCCACGCCCTCGGCGGCGAGGGATACCTCAACTTTATCGGCAACGAGTTTGGCCACCCCGAGTGGCTCGACTTCCCGCGCGAGGGCAACGGCAACAGCTTCCAGCACGCGCGGCGCCAGTTTAACCTCGTCGACGACCACCTGCTGCGCTACAGGTACCTCTACGAGTTTGACAAGGCCATGAACAATGCCGAGGGCAAGTACAAGTGGCTCGGCGCGCCGCAGGCCTACATCTCGTGAGTGGCGCCGATACGGAAGGGCGGCACGGGCAGGCGGAGGCATTCTGCTGCCCGCAGCGGCGGACCGACTGATGACGATGACGACGGCGGCTGACCTTCGCAGACTTGATTTGTCCTTTCGCCGCGATCCCTATCTCGCCTTCCACCTTGATGCAGGCTCAAGAACGAGTCGGACCGCGTCGTCGTCTTTGAGCGTGCCGACCTGCTCTTCATCTTCAACTTCCACCCGACCAACTCGTACACCGACTACCGAGTCGGCGTCGAGCTGCCAGGCAAGTACAAGGTGCTGCTCGACAGCGACGAGAAGCGCTTTGGCGGCCACGACCGCGTCGACCACTCGGTCGAGTACTTTACCACCGACATGCCCTGGAACGGCCGCGCCAACTTCCTCCAGGTCTACCTGCCCACCCGCACCTGCCTCGTCCTCGAGCGGCAGCAGTGAGGCGAGAAAGGCCAAGGGGGACGCTCCGCCTCCGGATCTGGTCGGAAGATGCGGACGATTGCATCGGTCAAGGGCAACGTGCCGGCGCGGCTCTTGTTGTAAATATGCTTGGGGACGGCGGGTGCATTCCGCCCTCTCCCCCCGCTGTTGCTCTCTGCGATCGGAACTGAAAGGGGAAAACAAGTCTTTTGGCTTAAGTGATCGTCGGCATTGGACGCGGATGACGACGGCGCTGGAACCGAACGGCAGAAGGACAGACGACGTAATGGACTAGGGGATGAGTCGGCGGCGGTGCTGCCGTAGGAAGGGAACGGGCGACGAGGACCGAGCGGGGCAGATAGACGAAGGAGGTGAGTACAGAAAAGGTCCATGCGAGATGCTGTGCGATGCTAAATACGTTGCGAGACTGGTGGGAGACGATGGGCGGAGGAGCGAGCGGCCTTGGCAGGGCCCCTGTACGGGGGTCGACACAAAGCAGCTGACGACGAGACGAGTCGCCCGGCTCCAACCTGATGTGGGCCAAAGCGCGGCGAGGGCGGCCGAGGCAGACGCCCCGTGGTTGGATCGACCCGCTTCACTTGACCATGGCGTAGATGACGTCCTTCTTCTCCTCGTCCTGGCCCTCCTGGCCCTTCAGCTCCTCGGCTCCTCCTGGCCCTTCAGCTCCTCGGCGTCGTTTTCAGCAGCTCCTCCGGCGGGGGCCGGATGGATCGGGGCGTCCTGGTCGACGGCGTTGCACTGACCGCCGTACTTTGTGCAGGCGCTGCAGAAGTCGTCGAAGCCGGCGCTGCACTCGCAGATGGTGTCGTTGCAGGGGCCGCACATCTTGGCCAGGTCGGTGTTGCTCAGCGAAAAGTCGGCGTCGTCGATGACGCACCTCTGCGTGTCCTTGGTGGCGCCGTTCTTGAGCACCCACTGGTCGTAGCTGAGGTACTGGTTGGCCGGTGCCGGGTCACGGCGGGCGAGGTTGGGCTCCTCGCCGTCCGTCTTCTGCTGCGGCGACGACGGCGACTGGGAGGCCTCGCCGCTGGTGTCGGGCGGGAAGAAGTGTGCCTGCGGGTCGACCTCGAAGCAGCGACGGTGGAAGTCGCTGGCCGAGACCGTCTGGCAATCGCACTCGTATCCCCAGCAGCGGTCGCACACCTGTCCAAACACGCCGTCGACGAGGTCCGGGTGGGGCGGGTTGAAGACGCACCTGCTGCCGTCGTTGTTGGCGTAGACGTACGGCGAGTCTTCGCCCTCTTCGAAATACTGGTCCTCGGATCGGATCATCAGGTCGATGCCGCCCTGGGCCTCGCCGACATCGTGGCTGCTCGCGACGGGGCTGCGGGGCTGGATGGGTCGGAGGAAGGCGGCGTGGCTGCTGGCCGCGAAGAGACCGAGGCTGACCATGACCAGCATGGTGAGGCTGCGGGTGGACGAGCTCATCCTGTCAGGCTTCGAACAGAGAGAGTAGGACGAGGTTGGGGTCAGCGTTGGCGGACGAGCAAAGGGAGTCGGCCCGGTCGTCTTGACACGCCGCTGAAGAAACGGTGGCGGCGTGCAAATGTTGGGATGCTCACCTTGCAAGACGGAGAAGTAGGGCGAAGCGAAGTTGATGACTTGAGCGATACAGCAGCAGAGGGGACCGAAGACGAAGCGGAGGCAGAGAGGACGAGGCGTGGGTCAAGGACGTTGGGGCTGGTGGGGGCGGGGGCAAGGTCGACCTCCTCCTCAGCATGATCAGAGCCCCTCTTTATAGCCAGGACCGCGACCCACTCTTACCACCCTAGCCTCTTGCCCTCGCTCGTAGGTCGATTAGTCGAGTGAGATCAGCGACCCGGTGAGGATCCAAGCTCCGAGATGAAAGGATTGATCTGCCTGGCCTACCTGGGCTTTTGATCCGGCCGACGGGCTGCTAGAGCCACGCTGTGCCGTTGCAATGACACGAATAGGGAGTCAGGCAATGGGGCGTATGTACTGCGCCCGAACCGTGACGCCCACCGCCGCCAACCCACATCTCGCTCCTCGATCGCGCGCCGGGCAAGTCTCCCAACCAACGCTTCCCCCGGCTCGCCCACCGAGAACCTCTGCCTCTGTCTCGTCCGCGATGAGTTCGGCCCTGGCACACGCAAGCACCACTGCTGTACTACCACGTACGGTCGTCACTCGGGCCCACTATCGGTCAACCTTGCTTGCCCGCCCCTGACTATGGGCCAACTTGGCCCGAGATGAGGTCAACCTCGGTTGCCCCACTCGTCTTCTGCCGCCCCGCACTCGTCGGGATCCCTAGGCACATCAACTCAACGCGGCGGCACCCCTCGTCGCACTCGATCCCCTCGATGGCCCACCGGTCCTTTGTCCCGCATCTTGACCGGTGGCACAGCAACGGCGGCGGGACCCGCCACGCAACCACGGCAGGGTGGCGCAAAGGGGTGTCTCTGCCACGCAACCGGCACCGTCTACCGCGAGCACGACCCGAGGCATCCTCGCCGCCCATTCTCATTTCTCTGCTACAGGCCAGCAACGGCTAAGGCATCCAAGGACCAGCATGGCAATCGTCAGACTGTGTTGCTTGGGTGGTATGTCGACGTGCAACGCTACAGTTGCTTTCGCTCGCCCTCAAGGCTGGTCTGGAACGCGATCCACCTGGCAAAGGCGTTGCCCGGTCCACCCAGCAACAGATTCCGCCAGTAACTCGGTCCGTCGACCTCGGTGCGGCCGCTCTTGATGAGGTCGACCCTCTTGATGAGGTAGTAGGCGAACGACATGCTCACCACCTCGAGGATGGAAAAGATTTCGCCCGCGCTCAGCTTCGAGTGGGCCAGATCGGCGGGCGAGAGGAGGCGGTAGGACGACGTGGTGAAGTAGCTCGTCAGGCCCGGGTTCCAGATTGGTTGCGACGAGGGCGCAAAGTCGACCGGCTGGAAGAGGCATGCGGCCAGGCCTAGCCACCACGAAAGGGTGCTGACCCAGGCGAGGGCGAGGAAGGCAGACGAGGTGGCGGACCTTTTGCCCGCAGGCTTCTTCGCTGGCTTCGAGATGCGGCCCACCAGCAGGGCTAGAGGGTAGCCGAGGACGTAGAGCTGGGGCGTCAAGAGGGCGGATGGACGGGCGGGCAGGCGAGGCGGCGGATGGGAGACGTCAGCGTCGGCTCCCTCAGGATCGTCGTGTTTTTAGAACAGCACAGAGCAGATGGCGGGCGGGCGGTCAGCTCACCTGGAAGAAGATCTGCGAGCGGCGGTAGGCGCCTCCCTCTGGGTTGAAGAGAAAGATGATGGTGCCCAGGATTGAGCAGAAGAGTGCGACCAGGTTGACGTTCCTTGACGTACCCGACTCGAAGACGACTCCCTGCCCCGCCGACGGCGGCTTGACGTCCGGGGTGAGGGCGTAGATGGGGATCCAGAAGGACATGAGGATGCCCTGGAACCCGACAATCTGGCTGAGGATCATGAGGAGCGTCAGCCCGCTGCCCCTGATCCACCACCGGCTCGTCGCACCAGGCTGCGAGAGGGAGGCGTATAGCCCGAAGTAGGTCCAGGACTGGAGCGCGGCCGAGTAGGCGAGGACGAAGAGGGCGGCGGAGAGGGGCGTCTCTGTGAATCCCTTGACAAAGTTGGTGACGATGCACCAGAGGTGGTCCAAGGGCTCGATGCCGATGTCGTACGTCGTGGCGCGCCGCAGCGGGTGGCTCGAATCGAGGCACCGGACGAGGAGCGTGGCGCCCAGCCCGTCGGAAGAGCCAAAGATGCTGAAGAGCTGCGCGCCCAGGCCGTAGACGCTCGAGACGACGGCGATCGGCACCAGGTCCGATGCCGAGGGAGGGCGAAGGAAGAGCGACATGGTTGCTGCTGGCTGGCTGGGTCGACGGCGGAGCTAGCCCTGGTGATTAAGTTCCGAGTACAGGGAGCAACCTAGAAGTCGTAGCTGAGTTGAGCGATGGCGAGCTGCGCTTCGCCTTGGCTATATAGTCAGGGCATCGTGGGCGGCGAGCAAGCCATCTAAGGGGCACGTCGACGGCAGCCGCAGCCATCTGCCATGGTCGTGCGATGGTGCCGTGTGGCGGGCGAGAGGTCGCTTGCTCCGTACGCGTCTTGCGGTCAAGGCCTGCCAGGCCAGGCCAGGCCGCGCCTGCGTCTTTCAGAAGGCAAACGCGTCGTCGGTGGCTGGTGTTGCTCTAGAAACATGAAGATGGGCAGCCGCGGCATCAAACAAGAAAGCAACGCAAGGAGCGGCCTGGCCTGGCCTGGCAGGCCTTGACCGCAAGACGCGTACGGACAGCCGACACCACTCACCATATCATCCCGATCTACCCACATCGGAGCTCGGAAGACGGATCCCGGCGCGGCCCACCGTATCGGGAGCAAGACGCAGCCAGCAACCATCCCATCCCGTCGAACGAATCGAGGAACCAAAGATGCCGCCTGGCCTGCAGACACGTCTCCGCCAACGGCCATTCGGAAGACGGCAAATCGGCTCCGGCAACAGTGTGCAGCCAGACGGATGCTGAAAGCGACGAGGTAGTGCCGGAGCTTCACCCGTCGTCTAGGATACCGGTACCGGTACCGGTACGTATCGCTTGTCGTTGAGCCGACCGGTGACCATCAACGGTGGTCATCGATCCGGCGCACTGTCCGGGCCCGGCGCACCGAGGTGCTGCGGTCGGGCCTGGGCAAAGGGCCGCGGCCCAAATGTATTCCTCGACGTAGGTAGGCAGGTATCAAGGCCGCGGGGCGCTGCGCGCTCTCCATCACACGACCAGTGCGCAACCGTTCAGGCGATATCTACCCATTGAGATGGTACCACAGCTACTCTCACGAAGCAGTACAAGCAGTGAGAGGTTGCTCCCACGTAGCTTGCTCTGCATGCAAAAGCATGCTGCCAAGACCAGACCGGGGTCGGACTAGAGCGTTGTCCTCGACCCTTGAAAGGCTGCTCGGGCTCGGAGCAGTACGGAAGACTCGCAGTGCTCTTCGGAGCACATCTTCCTGAGCAAGGGCTCCAATGAGGATACGGAAAGCGGCGTGACTCGAAGCTCGAGCGGAGGTGACGACACGAGCCTCGGTCGCAGCGGAGGGGCAAACCAGGTCGGTCTAACCTGCTGCAGACTCGCTCACGTACGGTTGCCCAGCCTGCCTGCAGCTGCGGCGTCGAAGTGCACGTACGAGTGCGTAGGAAACTCTGCAGCTGATTGTACGTACTACATACAGACCTGCGAGGGGATGAGGATAAAGGGGATGCAGACGAGGGAGCGCGCAGATAGAGGAGCAGAGGCAGAAGCGCAGGAGCGCGGGCCCTCGTCATCTGATAAAGGTCCAGCTGCCAAGGGACTAGAGCAGAGGCGAGGGACGACGGATCAGATAAGATCGCTTGCAGCTGCGGCGCCTCAGCTGTGCATCGCACCAATCGCATCAGATTACATGCAGAAGAAAGCACAGCCGCTCCGCCCGTCGGTGGTCCGCCTCTCTGCTCCGTCTTCTCTTCCTCTCCCTTCCCTTCCTCTCCCTTCATTCCCTTGCCTACCTCCCCTCCCTTCCCCTACCTTCCCTTCCCTACCTCCTCTGTTCTGTCTCTCTGCACACTCCGTTGCCCTCTTTCGCTTCTGCCGACGTCAACCGCTGCCTCGGTCCTCGCCGTCCCGCCGCTTCACAGCCGCGTCGCTTCCCCCGTCCTCGCCCTCCGGCCCGGACCGGTCATCTCTTCCGCATAGAATCCGCCGCTTCCCTCTTATTGCCGCCCTCACCGCTGCTGCCGCCGCCGCTGCCCGCCGCCGCAACCGACGGCCATGCAGCCAATCAGCTGCCTGCCAGCCACGGGCGTGTCTGTGTCCTCTTTCCTCGTCTGGACGTCTCTTGCCCCGGCAGGCCCCTCCTGATCGAGCCATCACAGCTGCTCTCACCCCCTTAGTCTCTTTCTCTTTGTGCTCTGACCCATGTGCATCGCCCTCGTGGCGGGCGTCCTCGGCTCTCTCGCCATTGATAGGGCGACGGCTCCCTCCCGCTCCTCGACGATCGACCTACAGCATCGTCGAGTGAACCTGTTCCCCGGCTGCTGCGATTGGCTGCCCCTCCTTCTATTCTGCTGCTCCTTCCCGCGTCAATTCTTGGCTGCATCTGCGTGGGTTTCATCGCCGACCAGCCAATCTGATAGCGATGCCAACCCCCGTCCGGCCCCGGAACCTTTCCATCTGCCTCGCCGTGGGCAATCTGATAGAGGACCTTCGAACCTCTTCATAAGGGAAGGCCCCATGGACTCCTCTGTTCCCCCATCCCCGCATCTCCATGATTCCATCTCAATCCTCCTCCGCCCTCTTCTGACCCCCGAACCGATCCAAAATGCTGCCGTGGGTGCTCGACGACCATGACCTTGGCTTCTTGAAGAAGTACCCTCCGGAAAAGAGGGAAGACGCCCTGCAGTCGCTGCTAGTCTCTAACCGCAACTCGTTCAAGGTCCCCACCATCTCGATGTGAGTGTCTTCGCCCAGCCCAGCGGTTCCTTCGTGGTCACACCGTGACCATCCGCGGCCTTTCTACATCCACTGACTTCCTCGATCCGCTCCCTCGATTGGCAGCTTCGTCGAATACGGCATCTTCATATCCCTCATCCTGGCATGCGGTCTCGTCCACTACCTCCCGCGCCTCTTTCCAACGGCGTGCAAGAAGCTGCAACCCAAGCTCGCGCCGATCCGCACGCATCTGCTGGAAGCGCCTCTGCTCGGCCGTCGCAACGCCGAGCCCATCCCGCTCTTCGGTCTGCGGTGGCTCACCTTCCAGATGCCGCTACGCCTCGAAGGCATCGTCCTACTGGCCCTCTTCCTCATCAACCTGCTTCCTATCACCGCCTTCTACACCACCCTCGCCGCAGAGCACAACCCAAGGTAGGCTACCCGTGAGCAGCGTCTCGATGTCGACGGCACCAGCTGACGCGATGCGACGGCCCCCTCACTTTGTGAATCTCCATGGAACAGATACCCTGGACCGCACAGCCATCGCCAGCAGATGCAGAGGTACCTCGCCGACCGAACCGCCGTGCTCGCCATCGGTCAGGTTCCGCTCCTTTTCCTCATGGCCGGCCGCCGCAGCCCCACCACGCTCGTATCGGGGCTCAGCATGAACGCCATCATGCTCTACCACCGCTGGATCGCAAGGATGGTCTGGTGCCAGGCCTTTATCCACGCCGTCGCCTGGACCGTCATCCGTATCGACCAGGGCAGGCTCGTCAAGATGTACCAGACCCCCTACTGGAACTGGGGCGTCGCCGTAAGTGCATGCCTCGGAGCCGCTATCGTCTACCCAACGCCGTGCTGACCAGAGATGACGCTCGTCGCGCATCGACGTCGCAGGCCTTCATGATGTTTGGAGGCCTCATTTTCCTGTCGCTGCGGTCGCTTCGTCAGAAGTGGTACGAGGTGAGTGTCGAACAGGCTGCTGCCGCATCCGTCGTGATCCGACCTAGCAGGACTTGCCGGCTGACCGTGTCTTCCGCCCCGCATCTCCACGCGTATCATCCTAGTGCTTTGTCTTCCTGCACATCCTCATGGCCCTGCTTGCGGTCGTCGGCATATACTTTCACATCCACCTCTTGCATTCCAGCTCGGTGAGTCGGCGCCTCCCAATGTTGTGGCTTTCCAACAACGAGTCGCTTATGATATCTCTCCAACGCTCTCGTCCATACGGCTCGCCCCCGCGCGCAGTTCCGCCTGTTTGTCATCATGACCGAGATCACAGCAGCCATCTGGGCATTCGACCGCGCGATCCGGTTCTTCAACCGACTCATCACGTCGGTCCAGCTTCGACGATCGGGCAGGCAGCTGGTCAAGGTGGCGAGCGCCGACGTCGAATTCCTCGCCAACAACAAGGTGGCGCGGCTGCGCATCTCGCTGCCCGCGTGGCGCGTCCAGGACGGCACGCAGAGCGACGTCCCCGGCCTCGTTCCCAAGCTCGCGGCGGGATACTCGATCATGCTCAGCGTTCCGCGCCTGCAGATCGTCGGCGACCATCCGTTCTCGATCGCAAAAGCTAGGGTCATCCGCGATCCCAAGTCCGAGGAGAGGGCCGCTTTCATCGACGTCCTCGTCAACATCCAGGGCGGCATGACCAAGAAGCTGCTCAGCCTCGCGGGAAGCAAGGACATCGAGGGATTGGCCCTGTCCCGATCGCTCTCGGTCATCGTGGATGGGCCTTACGACCACCAGCTTTCGGTGAGTTGTGTTGTCGAGCTGGCAGGAGCAGATGGCCTGGACGTCGGTCGCCTTCTGACCCTGCCAATGCCCCTCTTCCGCCTGTCTTGTCATTGTGCCGTGGACAACAGCTGTGCGCGACCGACCACCTTCTGCTCTATGCTGGCGGTATCGGTGTCACCTACTGCCTGCCGTTCCTGGAGCAGCACGTCTACCGCGGCAAGTTCAAGACATGCAAGCTCGTCTGGATGCTGCGCGATCTAGGTGAGACGACAGCGTCGCGTTCGACCACCGTGCTCTGCGATGGAAGGCATTCGCTGACACCGCTCTCGACCTTTCGCGCCTTCACAGACCTGCTCGAGGTCCTCGATGAGCCCCTCGGCGAGCTCGACGCCGCTGCCGACGCCACCAAGGCGAAGCTCTTCATCGACGTCTACCACACCGCTTCGCGGGCATCAGAGAAGGGCGCGCCCATCGCCACACTCGAAGAAGTTCCAGCCGAGCTTCCCTCGTCGTTGTCCTCATCGTCGGACCTGACACCGCAAGAGGAAAAGTCGATCACTGGCGGCCTCGACGACGACGACGATGAGCCCGCTGAAAAGGCCGAGGGCGGCGGCAGGACCGCCAACGAGGGCGTGCTCAAGAGGCGGTGGCGCAACATCACCTTCAACGTCCACCACGGTCGACCGGACGGTATCCGCCACCTGGACGAGAGCGTGGCAGCGAGCCGGGCCGACTCGCTCTCAGTCGTCTGCTGTGGACCCCGACCGCTGTGCGACTGGGCGAGGAACGAGACGCTGCAGTGGAGGCGGGAGCGGGAGTGGGCCGACATTGACTTCCACGCCGAATGCGTCCTGTGGTAACGAGACGAGCGCTGGCGCAGGCTACGGGGAGATGGCACGGTCCAGGACGACGGCGTCGGCAGCGGCGCGCGACCGGCCATCCCTTTGACGAAAAAAGAGAGGTAGCATCTCGCAACGGACGGATCTTAACGACCAACGCACGCTCTGAAGAAATGTAACGGGTTGAATCACCTCGGTGTCTGAAGGTCAGTTGGGGAGTGATGGCAGGAGCGGCATTAGCGCCCGTCCGCGATGTGAGCAGGTAGTGGTGGCGGGGACGGCTGGCTGTGGCGAGGATGGCGGTGCCAAGCTCGAGTCGGTGCCGTAGACTGGCGAGGCGGGTCAGCCTTGTCCAACAGGCTTGCCGCGTGGCAGCCAGAGGCCAGGCCAGGCCAGGCCAGGCCAGGCAGAAGGGGACTTTCTGGGCTGATGTGGGCGCGTCGGCACGCACAGACGCCGGCCTCCAGGGTGGCCCTGGCCCGCCTTCTCGGAGATCCCCTGGCTGGCTGGCCTCTGTTCTTCCTGCCGGAATTTTTGGCCTCGCCTCGCCTCGCTTTGCCCTGCCCAGCTGGCGAGGACACGCGTGCGCTGCCTGGCCTGGAGCTGGCAGGCCAAAGGCAGGCCACAGCAGCCTGCGCCCACGGCGAGAACACAGGCCACCCAACCTGCTCTGCTGCTGCTTTGCTCGCCCTGCCCCCGCACGCCGCACCACCTCTCAGTCGAGACTTTGGCTGGCCTTCTCGCCCGCGCAGCCCTCGTACACTACTCGACTCCGTGCCTCCTCCCTTCCACCTCGGTACTCCTCTTCTCCACGTCTTCTTCACCCCTTGGGCCGGATTGGTTAATATCAGCCACCTCCCTTGCTACGGCAACCGTCTCCTCCTCGACCCTTCGTCCCGCCCCGCTTCCCTCTCCTTGCCGCCCGTCACCCGACCCTCGAACGTTCACCGACCATGGGCCTCCTCAGCCTGCTCGCCCTGGGCGTCACCCACCCCTCGGAGCTCCGCTCCATGATTCACTACAAGGTGTGGCGCGACCCGCTCAACGACATCAAGCAGAACCCCGAGGCATCGGGCTGGAACCGCCCACAGATGCAGGAGTGCTGGACCTTCCTCGACCAGACCTCGCGCAGCTTCGCCGCCGTCATCAAGGAGCTCAAGGGCGAGCTCAGCCGCGTCATCTGCATCTTCTACCTCGTCCTCCGCGCCCTCGACACCATCGAGGACGACATGACCATCCCTGCATCGAAAAAAATCTCCCTGCTCGTCGACTTTTACAAGGTCCTCGAGCAGCCCGGCTGGACCTTTACCGAGAGCGGCCCCAACGAAAAGGACAGGCACCTCCTCGTCGGATTCGACAAGGTCATCGCAGAGTACCAGCTGCTGCGCCAGGGCTACCGCACCGTCATCTCCGACATCACCGCAAAGATGGGCGCCGGCATGGCCAGCTACATTGAGGCCTCATCGTCGTCGCCCCTCAGCGTCGACCGCTGGCAGGACTTTGACCTCTACTGCCACTTTGTCGCCGGCCTCGTCGGCGAGGGCCTCTCCCGCCTCTGGTCCGAGTCTGGCATCGAGCGACCCTGGATCGGCAACCAGCTCAAGCTGAGCAACCACATGGGCCTCTTCCTGCAAAAGACCAACATCATCCGCGACTATGCAGAGGATTGCGACGAGGGCCGCTTCTTCTGGCGCGCTCGACTACCTCTCGCTCCTCAAGGAGCAGTCGGTCTTCAACTTTTGCGCCATCCCGCAGGTGATGGCCATCGCCACCATCGAGCTCATGTTCCAGAACCCCAATGTGTTCAAGAGGAACGTCAAGATCCGCAAGGGACAGGCGGTCCAGGTGCGTGGCCGCCGCATTGGAACCGGTGCTGCGGTGTGAGGGCGAGGGAGCGACGGACCGCTGACCAACTCGTTTTGATTCTGTCCGTCCCTCTGTTGTCGTCGCCGACCCACAGCTGATCCTCAAGGCGGTCAACCCGCGCGACGTGGCCTACACGTTCCGCGACTACAGCCGGTCGATCCACAAGCGGCTGTCTGCCAAGGACCCCAACTTTGTGGCGTGGTCCGTCGAGCTCGGCCGGGTGAGTGGTTCGGTTCCTGCGGTCTTGCTTTCGGGCCGCCTGGGCCGTGCTGACTGACTGACTGACTGACTGGTCGGTTCAACACCCTTGCTTGTCCCATTCGCCTTGGCGCCCCTGCAGATTGAGCAGTGGTGCGAGACATTCTTCCCCTCGTTTGTCTCTGCTGCGTCCGAGAGCCGGGAGCCGGACGCGCGGGCCGCAGCGATGAAGAAGTGGACCGAGCAGCGCAAGTTCCTGGCGACGGTGGCGCAGCGGCGCGTGCGCGGGGGCGCGGATCCCAAGACGCTCAACCCGGCCAAGCTGGTGCACCCGCGCGACCTGATGTCGATGGAGGAGAAGGAGGCGCAGGAAAAGAAGGAGCGTGACGAGATGGTCATGTTCTTTGTGCTGGTGGTGATTGGCATCTCGGTCGTCATGGGTGGCACGGCGCTGATTGCGTGGATGATTGTGTGGTACTGGACGCAGGAGGGGCAGGACCCGCTGACGGCCAACCTGCAGTACTACTATTACGCGGCCAAGGCAGGCGGGATGGGGGCGCTGGCCGACGCCTTTGCCACGGTGCGCGAGGCGGTGTCGGGCTACCTTGGCGGGTCAACGGCGGCAGCGGCGGGCAAGATTGAGCTTTGAGGGGGGCGAGTCGAGGTGCGCAAGCTGCCCCGCGACCTTGGGAGAATGCCATGACCGGTGATCCCCCTTGTACGGCGACACCCGGTGGTCGGTCGTCTGGCTCGTTGTAGATAGATGTCACGTAGGATGAGCTGGCAAGCTGTTTGGAACTCGGGCGCTCCATGTCTGAGTATGGCCTCGGAAGTCGGGCGCAGTGGGCAGTCGTGAAGGCTCGGACCAGGTCGGGCGAGTGGGCCGACGAGGTGCGCAGATAGAGTTGCATCCAGCATGCTTGACGAGATGGCCGGGCAGGGAGACTTGTCCGTCGGCCTCGAGGTGGGCGGCGCTTGTCGCCCCTACAGCCTCTACTCTTTGTCGCTGTTACTGCGCGGGGTCGAGGTGCAGGAACAGCGACAGTCAGACAGGCCGGGAGAGTAGCGAGCAGCCGGCCACAGCCTCTGCATCGACTGCTTCGGCCTGGACTGGTGGGCGACGTGCAACGACGATGAGACGGTGCCGGACCACGGCCTGTCCTATTGAAGCCAGGCCTGACCTGACCTGACCTGGCCTGGGCGGCTTTCGGATGGGGCGAGGCCGGCCGTTATGCGATGATAGCGGGAAAATTGCGTGGCCCTCTTGGCTGACCAACACATACGCCGCTGCGCACCGGCGAGTAGAGCGGCGTGGGACAGAGGAACGAGATGGCCTGCAGGGTCCAACCCTCACCCTCACCCTGCGCTGGACTGCTTCGATCCTCAGCAAACAAGCAAGCAAGCAGCACGAGAGCAGGCCGGCCAGCACCAGCATCGGGTAGCATATCTCCGAGCCTCCCTTCGGCCAGCCCCCGCTTCTTCTCCACCTCGCCCCTTGCCCCCAACGACCGTCAGCTCCCTGGTTTCAGCAGCGCGCCATGCCATCCTAATCACCACCACCGCCGCCGCCATTCTCCTATCCTTGCCCGTCCATCGCCCTTTCCTGTGGGCCCGCAGCCGCACCTCATCTGTGCCACTCCTGCCCGCCTGCCCGCCATTCGCCGCTCGCCACTTCCTCAGCTCCTTCTGACGCCTTAGCACTTTTATCTCTAGCATCAACAGCAAAGGCCGCCCGCCGCCTCTTTCCGCGGCGCTCACGTCCTCTCGCCATGGCGTCCTCATCGTCCTCTCCGCCTCCACCTGGTGCAAAACCGCCTCACCAGATTGTCACCACCCGTCTGGCCAAGCGCCTCACCATCACCATCGACATTGACGGCACCAGCCACCTCCTCGTGCAGACCACCTCCGCCCTCCTCCTCGCAGAGTCAAACTACCCGGTCCGATACTACTTCCCAAAGCGCGCCGTACAGCCCCCATTCCGCCTCGACCTCCATGACGGCAAGGAGACCTACTGCCCCTTTAAGGGGTTCGCAAGCTACTACCATGCCCACTTTGTCCCGGATCAAGGTTCCGCCAGGGCGCAGCGGATTGACGACCTGTTCTGGACCTACTCAGAGCCCTTTTCGGGAAGCCACGCTGAGGCCATCGCCGGCTACCTCTGCGTCGACGCCCCCAGCCAACGATGCCAGCTCAAGGTAGACGGCCGCTCGGTCTCGCTGCAGGTGGCCAAGGAACTCAACGACAAGATCCTCAAGGCGAGCCCAACCGCCGGCACCCCTTCACCCAGCCAGCCTCGACCCTCGGACGATCAACGACGCCTGCTCCAGACCCCGCGCAGGGCGCCCATGCACCGCACCGTCAGCAGCGAGCAGCCAGAGATCCCCGCCAACACCTACGGCTTCCACTCCGCCATGGACCTTCAACTGGACTCGGCCGACCCGCTACTTGCCGACCTCGTCTATCGCCTCGACGACCAGCACAGGTCGGTGGCGGATGACGTCAACCAGGCAACGCAGCGGGGCGGCAGCGGAGAGCAATCTGCCGCCGGCGTCGCGGGCGGTGCAGGGGAAGGCAACGAGCCAGGCGACATCACAATGGATCCGCACCTTGCTTGGTTCCGGGATCGACCTTGGTACAGGCGACCTTCGGACAAGTGGATGAGGCCACTTGCCTTTCTCCTCGCCCTCGCCGCCGGCATGTGCATGGGCCCAAAGCTCGAGCTTCTCAACGCCCTCGTCTGCGAGCAGGTCCTCGGAAAGGCAGCCGTCGGGAACACCATCATCGGCGGCGACATCGACGCCAGGGGCTCAACCTCGGACAGGCACTCTCCCGTACACGCTGCCGTGCGCATGGCGGCTTACCAGAGCTGGCCGGAGCTCGACTCTCCATCCGATGCTTTGTTCGCTGTACCGACACTGTCCAGCCCTGCGGCGTCGCTCAGCGTCAACCACACCACCGTCGACGAGCCGGACCGTCCTACAAAGAGCTGCCTCAGCAATCCCGAGGTGCAGTCGTCGCTCGCAGCGCTCCAGCTTCGACTCACTCTGTCGATGGGCATCCTGGCGGCCCTGACGACCGGCTTCTGGTCGAATCTGTCATCGCGCATTGGCCGCCTGTCCGTGCTGCGTTTCGCCATCCTCGGCTTCATCTGCACCGATCTGGCCACCATCACAGTCGGCCTCGTGCCGCGCTCCCAGCTGCCCGGCGGCGTCAACTTTCTGCTGATTGGCACCACCATCGAGGGCCTCTTTGGCGGCTACGGCACCGCCATCGCCGTGCACCAATTGTACATTTCTGATGCAACGCCTTCAGGTACTCGCGCCCACATCTTCGCCCACTTCATGGGCATCTTCTCGGCGGGCATTGCCATCGGGCCAACGCTCGGCGGTCTGCTGGTCAAGCGGACGGGCAAGATCCTGTCTCCCTTTTACTTTGCGCTCGGCACCCACCTGCTCTACGCCTTCTGCGCCGTTTTCATCATGCCCGAGAGCACTAGCCCGGCGGCGCAGCAAAAAGCCATCGAGGAGCACAAGGCCAGCCGGCTCGCCATGAGGCTCAAGGCCGAGGAGCGCAGGGCGGCCAAAGGCGCCGCCCACGCCAGCAATGGGAACGAGGGCGAGACGCAACCGCTTCTCGGCGGTGAAGAGGGTGCGGCTGCGCAACCCGTCAAGCCGTGGAAGAAGCGCGTGTGGAAGAGGATCAAGGTTGCGTTTGTCGACAGCGTCCTGCATGCTCCCCTCGAACCGCTGGCGCTGCTGCTGCCAAAGAAGGTCCGGGTGCCCGCCGAGGAGGAGGAGCAGCAGCGCGCCGGCGTCCCGCTGAGGTCGGCGCTGGCACACCCCGAGGCCTCGGCGTCGCACATCTCGGTCTCGCACGTGGCGCACAAGATGCGGTACGACACCAACCTCTTTTTCCTGTCGCTGACCTACTTTGTCGAGTGCTCGATCATCGGCATCATGTCGTACAAGATGCAGTACGCGCAGCAGCAGTTCCTCTGGGACTCATCTCAGCTCGGCCTCTTCCTGTCGTTTGCCGGACTGGCGCGGGTGCTGGCGCTCGGCCTCGTTCTCCCCGTGGTCATTAAGATCCTCCACCGACCCGTCAAAGCACTCACGCTGCCTCACGATGGCGTTGTACCCCACGACGAGCCCGGAGCCGACCCGAGCCTGCGCAGGCGCTCGGTCCTTGATGCCGACGGTCGCATCGTGTTGCCCGACTCGAGCTCCGACGACACGTACGGAACGTTTGCCTCGGGCGCACACGCATCGAATGACGACGAAGCCGCTGAGCACGGGGAGCGCGGAGGACCGGCCTGGGACGCCACGCAGAAGAGCGTCGAGGAGCTCTGGACGCTGCGAGCCAAGCACCTGCGGCTGATCCACGACAGCAAGTTTGATGTGAGTTGATCCAGGCCCCGTCTCTCTTGAATCCGTCCGTTGCCATGGGCTAGGCAAAGACTGACGATGCGCCATGGGTTCTGCATGCCACCGTTCTGACCGCTGCCGCAGCTCAAGCTGTCCAAGATCTCGATCGCCGTCAATACGCTCGCCTACGCGCTCCTCATCTTTTCCAAGACGCCCTTCCTGTTTTTCCTCGGCAGCGGCCTCGCCGCGCTCGGAGGAGGTGCCGGCGCGGCCATGTCGAGCCTGGCCTTGGCGCTGCTCGAGTCGCCCAGCGACGCCGGCAAGCTGTTTGGCGCGTGGAGCATCATCAGCGCCATCGCCTCGACCATCGTCGGGCCGCTGCTGTTTGCCAAGATCTACGAGGCCACGACGCGCGTCTTTGTCGGCGCCATTTTCGTCGTTGCGACGGGTGAGTACATCCTGTCGCCGCGCTGGGGGGTACCACACCGAACGCATCAAACTGACTTCATCGATCCTTCCTGCCTTCCCGCTGCCCGCCGCTGCCGCTCTGCCACTCCAGCCATGTTTGTCGTCGCCTTGGCGATCCTCTCGCTCGTCAAGGTGCGCAAGCCCGTCAGCCTCCCCTCTCTGCCCGCCCGGCCCCCTCCTCCGCCGTCATCATCGAGGAAGCAGGACGAGTCCAACGCGTCCGCAGCGGCCAGGGGGAGCGGAACGTGGAAGAGCGCGTTTAGCATGCGCACCAGGAGAAAGGATGGGGGCGATGCGGCGCGGCCCTCGGCGGCGGGCCGGGACAAGAGGCCCGAGTTGCCGTTCCGTAGGGACTGAGCGAAGCGGCGGGTGAACGCCCTATTGCAGTAGAAGAGAAGACAAGTCAGCAGGCCCAGCTTTGACGAATGTACCCGGCCGGGCGATGTCCAGCCACCGGCGAAGTCAAGTGTAAGGACGAGTCCTGTTGCAACTCAGTTGGGATCTGCATGCATGTCGTTTGTCGCCTAGTATTTGCTGCGCATGGCGATGAGTACGTGGCGTCCACGACGACGACGACATCGTCTCGTTTCGCGTTGTGCGCGCCATCAAGCAAAGCAGCGCAGATGGTCGACATCTCTGCCCAAGGGCCGGCTGTGAATCCAACCGCGTAGCCAGCCTCTGTCCGCCGAGCCTGGCGAGTGCGAGACGAGGTGCACGACCTCATGCATGTCCATCCGCGGTCGGGGGTTCAACATGCAAGGCCGACAGTCATAGCATAGAAAACCTCGACCCTAGGGCGTCGCACCAAGATGCCCTTGGCGGCCGGCACCTTGGCGGGATCCCGCCCCCATCTTGGCACGACTGCCGTCAAGCTGCCGCCAAGGTAGCCGCCAACATCAGTGGCAATCCCGATGGCCCTTTGGCGCAAGTTCGGCGGCACACTGAGAGAGCACGCTCGGCTGGACTTGGTGGCAGTGCGATCGATGCTTCCAGAAGGATCCCCCCCCCCCCNCNCCGCCNCNCNCTCTCGTCGTCGTCGTCGTCGTCGTCGTCGTCGTACGTACGTACGTACGTCGTCGTCGTCGTCGTCGTAC